ACATACACGCACACACGCACATACACACACACACACACACACACACACACACGCACGCACACAAATACACACACACACATGCACACACATACACACACATGCACACACACATACACACACACACACACACACACATTATAACATTACAGGTATCCACTTTCAAATGACAAGTTAGCCTTTACTTTACACACCTTTGGATGATTCTCCAGGAAAGTGGCAACCTTCAGGGCATTTTGGCTGATCCTTTCCATGCGCATGGGCAGTGTCTTCAGGCCCCGCAACAGCAGGCTTGCATCGTGAGGGGACTGCGGGGAAGCTGTGCTGTTATTAACTGTCTGCTGTTTTATATGATACATATTATTGTATTCTGGGATTTTTAAAATTCCCCAGTTGGATTTGTTGTTGTTGTTGTTGTTGTTGTTTTGTTGTTATTTTTGTAAACCCTGATGCACTGTATGGTTTTCCGTATTTTTTTTCCCTCAAAAAGATCTTCTTCTTCTTCTTCTTCTGGCTGGCCTCCTTTAGGAGGGTGGCAGTCTGCCGCAGGCACACAGGTAAACGGCAACCTCGTGTGACCTCGTCCAGAGTACATCCGGGCCTGGTCTCGCGTTGTTCTCCATAAGTGGGCCTCGATGTGCTTCCCCTAGGCTTCCCCCTATATGTTCTTATACTATCATGCCACACAGCCGAGTACAAGCCCTCAGGAGATAGGGACCCACTGTCCAGGTCCACAGGTAGCAGATCTCTGACCGTCTAGGCTTCCCCCCTCGGGCACTCATACAGTGCGTGCTGCAGGTCGTTCTCAAAAAGATCATCTTATTAGACACACCAAAAAAGTCTAGATCTAGAATATACGATAATGCCTATGTACGATCTTTGGTTAAATAATTTATTTTTTGAAAAGCGGTATTCGTCAGGTAAAAGAGGCACTGAATGTAGATTTATCCTATTGCTTTGCTTAGCCGACTTATGTCACTTTGTCATTCAACTTTTGCCAGCCTTTTAACAGATCTTAAAACAACAAAATCAGTCATTCATTTGCAATAAGTTATCTATAGTGCTGCTGGTAGAAAATTAAACCTTTTAAAAGTATAAAGTGGATGATTGGCGGGTGCTCTGGTGTGGTTTGCTTCTTCTTTCCTATCAGACATCTATCGTCCTTATCTCCCCTCCTTCTTTTTTATGTTCGTTACTCTCTTGTAACACCTCTAATCTTCTGGCGCTCATATGACCTTAAGCAGTTGCGAGCGCCGTGAAACCTCTACTAAAACTAAAAACTGAACTGAAAGTATAATGTGTCTGTGAAATGAAACGTTTTTATCGTACACCATAACATCGGATTGTCATAATATTATTCCCCTTCATTTATATTGAGGCCAGGATGCCCTGACTCCACATGGTCTTTCCATAGGATTTGGAGCAAACACAAACGTGTTTTATTTTCTTCAGAAAACACAATTTTTCTCTCCATCAGCCCCCACCCCCCCCCTTCCGACACACACACACACACACACACACACACACACACACACACACACACACACACACACACAAACATTGACCAACTGAGCATATGCAGATGACTTTACCGTTGAAAATATGAGCTCGGCCTAATAAGACCAGGAAAAGACATGAGAGTCTATTTGTGACTCCAGCCTGTCCACTTACCAGCATATTACCCAGCGTGCCCTGGATATGTTTCAACGCTCGCCATTGGTCAACAGTTCTTGTGGTCACACATCCGGCGATAAGGTCCGAATGACCTCCCATGTATTTTGTGCTGGGGAAAATTTGTGAGGCAGCGTGGTGGAATCAGGCTCTCGTCAAAATAATCAGAGTGACGAAACTTGCATTTTTCCACAGGTTTGTGAATTTTTATCAAATTTTTGTTTTTTGTCTAAACACCTTTCATGACCATTAAAGAATTAATTTCTGAGTGGATTTTTTCTGAAAAGCATTGATTTCAGAGGTAAAATTAGTGAGAAAATGGCCTTCAAAGACTAGTTATTTCCTTAGCTTAAGAGTCCGTGAAAACTGAAAATGTACATTTTTTGTGCCTTTAATCAACGTTTTTCAGAATATTCCAAACAGAAATGAGTTCTTTTATGGGCATGAAATGTGTTGAGCTTTAAAGACAAAAATTTGAAAAAAGTTCACAAAGCTGTGGAAAAATGCAAGTTTCTTCACTTTGATTATTTTGACGAGAGCCTGATTCCACTGCGCTGCCTCACAATTATTAATACAAAAGTCTTTTGAGAGCATCAGAGCAAAGAAATACAAGACAAGCTATGACTGCCGATGTCTGCTTCAGATCTGGCACATCAGTAAGAGAATGTGGCACCACATAGTATACCTTATCGAGGAAGCCCAGTAGTTGCTGGATCTTGCTACTTCATAACACACACTCATTCAGAATGCACATGATACCCCCCCCCCCAAACAAAAAAACAAAAAAACAAAAACCAACAACCCAACCTTAGTTTCTTTAGGTGTCGCAAGCTTCGAATGAAGTTGATCTTAGTTATGAGATACACACTTACCTACTATGCATTGCAAAGTCAACTCCTAGCTGGATAGAATGTTGTAGAACAGGACTTGCGAACGTCCCGTCCACTCCAATAAGGATGTTCCGAGACCTGCAGGTGAAGGGAGATAATAATAATTTATAATAATAACATTTATATAGCGCATATCCATGCTCATGAGCATGCTCTGTGCGCTTTACAACTATTATTACCCCAGCAGACCCCCTGAGAACACTCAGAAACATTCTCAGCTTCCGCGGAAGCATACAGTGCAAGCTGCGGGT